AAGTTTTCGGTGGTAGAGAGAGAAATGGAAATGGCGTGAGTGAGAACAATCTAGAGCTCAGATATTTATTTGGAAGCGGAGAAGCGGAATCGTTTGTAACCTGAACGATGTTTCCAAAACGGATATAACAAATTGCTCTCGCGTCCGGGGATTACCCTTACTTTCCCTCTTATTTACGATGCCATGCCCCTACTACTCTCTTTTTCCTGCCCTATAGGTCTACTGCTTCGTCCTCGTGTCTCTTCAATGCACACGACAAAATTCAAAAACCCTCAAGCATTAAATTTAAAATAAAATAGGTATTAGCACTACACACTTTGAAGGAAAAAAACACTAATTTTGTTTTATTTATATCTTGAAATTCTATTCTTCTTCGATTTTTAAATCAAAGGTTAGACGCATGTGTGTTTTGTTCTATAGTATTTTCTTATTAGGAAATATGCCATGGTACATTTCGAATCAAATGATACTAGTAAGTTGGTTATGCCAACATTCTTTCTTCCTTAAATACACACACAATATATGTAGAATTTAGCTAGAGCAAGTTTCAAATTGAATAAATCATCAATGTGCATGGCTTGGGAAACCTGGGATGATGCAGATGATTATGGGATCATAAAATCCAATGTACATAAGTAACTAAATGAAGGAGACGGATCGTATTATGTAGAAGCCGCAACAACATTCAAGGACACAATCTCTACCTGCTCCAAATCTTCTTTGCTGTAACAAGGAAAAAAAACTAATATGCGATCTCTTCGAGAACTTGAAGCGTCTTCTGGTGAACCTGTGCACAAGTGAAAACACACATTTAGAAGCTCTTATGAATGCAAAGAAAAGAGACTTTGATCTGCAAATGTTTCCTGTTCCAAGGAACTCACCCATTCTAGATGTTGTGCTGTGATACCCGAGACATTACCCGAGTATATACTGCCCAGTACCTATCATTTAATATCACACAAAATTATCAATATTCCATTCCTATCATCTGTTTGCTCACCCACCAATGTTGAAACATACCTTTGTGACAGTCTCTAGAAACATTCCTGGCCTTACTGGTAGAGGTTTTCTTCCTGTAACGCTTCCCTGGATCAAATCAAGTAGACCAAGTAAGAACAGAAGACTATCTTCGTTCTTTAAACAGAACATGTGTTACTTGATCATACTTACCCTTCCATTTAATCCACCCTGTCTTCTTCCTTGAGTAGAAGGATCATCTTCGTTGCTAAGATCATCTGCACCTTCATCTTTCCCTTGCATTACATTCTGGATCATTTGCTGCACTGCCTTTCCAGGTTTGAGAGCTACCAATTTGGTTAAGAAATTCACCTGTTCACCAATCATGCACCAAGTCATTTTTTTTGTTTCGATGTTTAAAGTGTGTTCAGAAACAAAGGCATAATGGACATAATAGTTTTGTCTCACAAAACCTCTGATTCAGGCAGAGTGGAGAAACCTCGACCATTTCTCTCATCAAGTATACCTCCTCCCATCATGTTCCGCGCTTCCTCTCTAATCAAAACAAGCCTCGCTAGTAGTTTTCGATCGGGAATCACTGGCCTTGTTTCCATTGTCTGCACAAATTCCTCAGTCTTATACACATTCTCAGAAATAAATGATCTCGAATAATAAAGATTTGAATTACCAAACAGAATACCTCTAGCAAGTCATCAGCTTGATTAGCTATGTCATTCAGATTTGCTCCGGGTATATGAAGCTTAGTACCGTTCTCACTTTCAAAAGCCCCACCACCGGCGGCCACCCTACGGAGCAGCTCGTGTCTACTTTCCTTTTTAGGGGTTCTGCAGAGTAAACCAATCACCTGGACCTAAATAAACAAGAAAAATGAAAAGATGAATGAAGTTAGTGGAAAGTCTTGAAAGCAAGAAGAAGCTGATTTCAGTATACTCACATGAGGAGGGCATTTTTTAGTGAGATGGGATAAGACAGTCTCTTTGACCACCACTAGTAAGGACTTCCTCTGAACTCACAAGAAAAAGGATCATTTCGTTTCCCAGCTTAAAATGTTACGGAACTAATAGAAATGGAAAAGGTAACAACAGGCTTAAGATCCAGTGAATCTATGCAAGAGCTTGCTACATCACATTGCAAAATATTAAGCAATCTGAGTTACAATGCCAATTCCAGTGATCTTGGTCACTACTGGCAACGAGATGTTTGTGTATATTCGCAATGAAACTGCAGGGAAAATGGAGAATGGGTTTACCTTGTCGTCTTGGTCTTTGTCGGCGAGTTGGATCATGTAATCGAGAGCCATCATAAACCCTGACTCCATTTCATCAACCCTTTTGCCTATAACTCCTTGTGCAGCCAATTCTACAGCAACATTCTCGGACGCTTCATTCATCTTCATATCTTGCAACTACAAATCAGAGGCAATCATTACGGAACCGAGTATTAATTCTGTTTATCATTTATTATAAGCCATCTGAGAAAAGTGAAGAATAACCCCAGAAATATACTATAAGGCTAAACGCCTTCAAGGTGTTCGACAAATAGCCAAGCTTAGGGAAACGAGAAAAGGGTAAGCCCAGATGAAACATTAACTCGATGGAAACGTAGAAATTCATACGAGGGTTATCATTTCTTCAAGAACGGAAGTGACTTGTTCGCCTCCTTTAAGCAGAGCCTCATAATCAGACGCATCTAACTTATCCTCGACCTTAGTTTTACTTTGCTGGGTTCCGTATCTTTCAAACAATTCCTCATCGGAATATCCACCTCCAACCTCGTAAGGGGCGCAAAATTGAACAAGACGCTTCAATTTCTGGGTTTGCTTTGGACGGAACGAACAAGAGGAGAAAGGAAAGGAGGCAATAATCAATGGAATCAGAGGTTCTATTTGCAAAGGTGATGTTGAGGAGGAGAAACGAAGATGAATAGACTGTAACATACTTTGATTTCCCGTTTCAGATTCCAAATTTTGAGGTTTTGGGTTTAAGCCAAGGAAGAAAGATGAATAGTAGAAGAAGACGACGACGACGATCAAGGATAATATTATCAGAAAAGAAATTTTAAGAAAACTAGGGGATATTCCACGGTGACGTGCGGTTTTAGATTATATAGTTTCTATCACTATTTTTTATTCCAAGATAAAATTGGATTTAACTCTAATATATTACTCTATCTTTTATTCCAAAATAGATTAGAGTTTTACTCCAATAAATCATTCCATTTTTTACTCTAAAAATAATATTTTAAATCTCTTTTGCTATTTATTATTAATTACTAACAATACACTTTATTTATAAAATTTACAAATTGACCATTTTTTTTTGTTTATAAATTAGAGTTGTAAAATTATGGCTTGT